TCCCCCATCACCGCCACCGCCTCCCACGCATTGGCAGCCGGATCGTACCGCTCGACCGAGCCGAGGACGCCATCGTTGTCATTCTCGCCGCCCACAGCATAAAGCTTGCTGTCGAGCACCGCCACGGCGTGACCCTCATGTGGTGTCGCCACTGGCGCCACAAACTCCCACGACTTCGAGGCCAGTTCATACCGCTCCACCAGGTTGGAAGTTGAGATGTCAGCCTCGCTCATGCCGCCCACTGCGTAGAGCTTGCCATCGAGCACCGCCGTGCGTGCATACTTTCGTGCCGTCAGCATTGGCGCCATCGCCTCCTCCTCCCACTCATTTGTGGACGGGTCGTATCGCTCCATCGACCTGACGAACTCGCCGTTGCTGTAGCCGCCCCGCCTCCCACGCGTTCGTCGCCGGATCGTACCGCTCCACCGAGCTGAGGCGGCCGAAACCGCCGGCGAGGCCGCCCACAGCATAGACCTTGCCGTCGAGAACCGCCACGGCGTGGTTCTCGCGTGGTGTCACCATCGGCGAAACAGCCTCCCACGACTTGGTGGCCAGGTCGTACCGCTCCACCGAGCTGGAAGTTGCGCTGTCGTCCTCACTCTCGCCGCCCGCCGCGTAGAGCTTGCCATCGAGCACCGCCGTGCGCGCACCCGTGCGTGCCGTCGGCATCGGCGCCACAGCCTCCTCCTCCCACTCATTCGTTGACGGGTCGTACCGCTCAAGCGAGTTGACAGTCCCACCCTCGCTGTCGTGGCCGCCGAACACGAGCAGGCGCGGCCTCTCGCGCTTCTTCAGCGTCTCCTTCCAGCCGCGGCGCCACGCGCGGCACGTCCCCTTGACGGCATGCTCCTTGGTCGGCAGCTGGCGAGGATGTGCGGGGCGAGGTCCGGCGAGAGGAGAACCTCGGAGAGCACTCACTCGGGCTTCTCCACGAGCCGAGCGGCGTGCTCCTCCGCCACGTGCAGCGCGGCGTCGCTCGCGCCCGCCTGCGCATCGCTCGCGTCGCGGCCGTCTCGCTGCTCTTGCTTCCACGCCTCGCTTGCGCTGGAGGGCATCCGCTTGTGGGCGCAAAAGCGCGCGGCTTCGAGCTGCCGGCGCAGCCAGAGGACGAGAGCTGCGCCGTGCGGTGGCTGTGCTTCGCTGCCTTGCTGCGCGAGTCCAACCCCCGCCGGCGAGGGCGGCGGCAGGCCAGTCTCACAGCCCTTCATCGACGGCGAGGGGGCTCTCTTCGTGCGCGGCAGTGAGGCAGGCTCTCCAGGGCTGCTCGGCCACGGCGAGGGCGTGACGCAACTGAACACGCCGACGCGCCTCCCGCTGACGCTGGGTGAGCGCACCGTGAGCGTGTCGGCTGGAGGTCTGACGACCGACAACCACAGCCTCGCCCTCACCGCCGACGGCGCTGTCTGGAGCTGGGGCAAAGGTTTGGGGGCAAGCTGGGCCACGGCGACTATCAGGACCAGAGGCAGCCCAAGAAGATCGAGGCGTTGGCTTGCCAGAGCGTCATCGCTGCGTCGGCTGGATACGAGTACAACCTCGCCATCACCGCCGATGGCGCCCTCCGGAGCTGGGGCAGTGGAGACTTTGGCAAGCTGGGCCACGGCAACGAGAGCTCCGAGCAGTGCCAGCTGCTGCCGAAGAAGATCGAGGCCTTCGCTGCCCGTCGGCTGGGTCCCACCACAGCATCGCCCTCCCTCACCGGACACCGCCGACGGCGCCGTTTGGAGCTGGTGCAATGGAGGCTTTGGCCGGTTGGGCCACGGCGACCTACAGGACCGGTGGGTGGGAGCGCCAGCTGCTGCCGAAGAAGGTCGAGGCCTTTGCTGTGGACGGCATCCATTGCCGCGGTGCTGGCGCAAACCGATTTTTTGGGAATCCGACGCGAGCATCTCTCCTTACAACTGTACTCCTTACTTACTTAAACTAACTTCATTCATGGCCCTCCAAATTCGGGTCGGAGCGTAGCGGAGTGGGCCCCGAGTTTGAAAAGGGCGACTGGACGCTTGCGTCCTAGCCTCCAACAACGCCTCCCTGGCGCAGAGGGGCCCCCGGAGGGATGCTCAACCGCCCCACGCCACGCCGCTTGCGGCGGTCCTATTGCCGCTTGGCACTTCTCCTTTGGAATCCGCCGAAAGCCTCCTTACACACACAACCGAGACTTAACGATGACGCGCATCGACTTCAAACAGCCGCACGTCATGGCGGAGATCGGGTGCAACCACATGGGCGAGTTCGAGACGGCGAAGGAGCTGCTCACCCTCGCCAAGGAGGCGGGCGCTTCGGTCGGCAAGTTCCAGAAGCGCTGCCCGAAGGAGCTGCTCACGCCGGAGCAGTATGCGGCGCCGCACCCCAACCCTCGCAACGCGTATGGCGACACCTACGGCGCGCACAGGGAGTACCTGGAGCTCACGGTCGACCAGCACCGCGAGCTGAAGAAGGCGCGCGCGCGCGCGCGCGCTGCTGCCGCCGCCACCGCCGCCGCCGCCGCCGCTTGCAAGGGAGTGGGTGGGAAGGGGGCTCGCGCGGCGCGCCGCGTGTCGGTGCGGCCGTCTCACCTCCCCTCGCCCATTCGCCGCCCGCAGCACTGCGAGGAGATCGGGCTCGGCTACTCGTGCTCGGTCTGGGACGTGACGAGCGCCAAGGAGATTGTCTCGCTCAACCCGATCTTGATCAAGGTTGGCTCGCCGTCGAACCAGCACTGGGAGATGCAGAAGGTGCTGCGGGACGAGTACGGCGGTGACATCCACATCTCGACCGGCATGACCACCAAGGAGGAGGTCGAAAAGATCGTCACCTTTTGGGAGGAGGGAGCGGGCGACGCAAAGAACAGGCACGTCGTGCTACACCAACACACTCACACACTCACACTCACACCGCCCGCACACGCGCACCGGGCCTTGCACTTCAAATGCCGTGGGGCTCCTGTCCTCTAGACGTGCAGTCGCGAGGGCTAGCCTGGCCCTTGCCCCACCACCTCGTGTGTGTGGAGAGAATTCGCTTCCCTTCCGTTGCCCTTAGGCTGGTGCTCTACAACTGCACCTCGGGCTACCC